AGAAACAAGCAACATGTACAACAAATTCAACCTTAAATTATAAATCTGCATCTTCGAAAAGAATCTGAGATAAATTGCGCGGAATAAGGTGCAATGGGTAGTGGTGAGGGAACGAGATGAGGTCGGCGAGGACGCCCGCTAATACCAGAACAATTCAACCGCAGTTGCTTCTACAATCCCTCCATTTTTCACATCTTTCAAAACTAATTATTTTTACCCGTGAGTGAGAACTCAACATCTTATTGTCCACCACTCAACGCGCTGATGATCTCGTTTCGTGTTTTCTCATCCAGTGCTGCAATTCAAGTTATCATAGGATTTATCATTTCAATAATTTTGTATGACCTCATATTGGAGTAGCGAGTCCAGTTCGTAAAACATCCTTTTAGTCTACAGTAGCAACCTTTGTCATCAGTGGACAAAAAGTCTGGCATAATTTTTCCATAAGGTAACAGTGCAGTCGAAGCCCTCGAGGGAGGCTTGTCAATAAAATTTGGAATTCATGCGCTTAAAACTTTTACCAATATCTTTTAACGATAAAATTTTTCAGTTGTGAATAAGAAATATTTTTAATTCACCCAACGGATCTACGCTCCTTTTCAGAGACTATGCCATTAGCTGTAAAACGCTTGGATAAAACACATGAGTTTTTAGTTTGGCAAAATGAGTTCTTTTGTAGCAGTGGACGCCTGAATTTTTGTTGGGGGCGGAAGGCAGTTCTAAATTTCAGGCGCAATCCAATGCTTTGCTGCTCAAAAGTTAGATAAAGTAGCACAAGCAAACGACTAAAAAAACGTTCGCGGTACGCTTTTTGCATGGTGAAAATATTTTAAAAACGGGAAAAAATTGTTTTGGTTTTTTGGCTAATTTTGCTTGTTTTGTAAGTGAAACATTTGGCATATGAGATTTGGAGAACAGCGCGTTATAATTTATGTGAGAACAGGTTTCTGGGTTGAAGTTCACCTATTGAAAGCTTCGTGAAACTGGTTTGCTGGCAGCATAGCAAAACAACAGCTCTCACTGCTCACAAGACGTTTGGCTGACACAAAAACATGTTTCACTATTTTTAGTTTCTGCTTAAAAAACGGAATTTACTTTGAAGGTAAAGCAGAGTGTTCAGCATGAAATGTGAAAAGTGCTTACAGTCCATAATAGCTTTGATCTGTTGCCTCTTTTGGATACCATTCAGAGTTGGGTTGTCAGCGATAGCGCTCATCTTGGCGTCAGCTTCTTTTGCAGCCGGTGAGAATTTAGAAACTGCCGCTTGATGGGCTTTCTCGTACTGTGCTTGTCCTTCCTTCAACTCTTGTTTGAACTTGTCAAATCGAGTCTGAAAGCACTGCTCTCAGATTCGAAAGGAAATTTCAATCAAGTCTATTAAATTTTTGTGACATTTCTTCCATCTTACTCAATAATGTGAAATTCGAAGCAGCTAGCTAAAACTAGCGTTTCTCCGCAGTAACACTAACACATCAAATGGTTGTTCTGCTAGCGATTCTTTTTGCATGGCAGCTTCTTAGAAGAGAAGGAGAATGATGACAAGTTTCTTAATGGGGGATTTCTGGCAAGAGATCCGCCGAAAATGCTTTTCCCATTTATTGATTAACAGTTGCAAATAAGACAAAAGACAAATTTGCGAATAAGACAAATTTTTGACCATTAGTTCTCAGAAGAAAATTTACCGAGTCCTGTCATTAGAGGCCGAGCCTGATTTCAGGGAGCATGCGGTAAATCATCATTTGAAATCCAAGCACTGCTTGAGAAGCAACGAATAGGAAGATCAGCTTTATCATTAAAGTTTTAACTTTATCACTAATGTGAGTGATCAACGTGCGAATTTAGTCAATCTGGATAGCACTTCATCCTCAGGATGATGCCGACAGAGTACTATAACCTAACTGCAGAAGCTGCAATTCAGTCCATGACTGGATGTGAACATTTACTGTTCATTATGACAGTTTTTTTGGTCGAGAAACTGACTTAGTCGGAAGCTACTGGAACTGAAAATTAAAATTAGGAAAATGGGTAATTAAACAAAGGATATGCAGGCCAAAGTTGTGCGTTCTTACTTCTAAAGAGGTGCTTTTTTTTCACGATTGGTAAAAAACGCAGTTTTCTCCTAAATACTTTAAGACCATTATTTGTCATATAATGAGCAAGTTGTGTTAATTTCTGGAGTACGCTTAAATTTTTTTTAAAAAAACGAAAATTACAAGCTGATTTTGGAAGCTTCTAAGCCATCTGGGTAACTTTGGCTGCGCTATCTTCACTTCGCACCGGCGCACTAAAATTTTACTTCTTTCTCAGTAAAGAACAGCAAATATCACCTTGTAGTCCCCGCCCAATTTGGTTACAAATGCTTCAATATCAGCGTCAATTTGCGGATCCGACTTCGTTTCATCCGCTTTCAACAAATCGTAGAACTGTTTGATGACGTCTGGGGCTGCACCTGTCAAAAATGGCGGTGCATCCTGTGGAGCTTGCTGGGCGGCTACTGCCGCAAGGCCAACTGCAAACAGGACGAGGTATCTCATTGTAAAATGCTGGAATCACTGATATGGCGCTGAGGCGGTGGTTGACTGTTGGAAAACTAACTCTGATTGATGCTCTACCAATAACCGGGTGTCTTTTTATATGGGGACCGCGATGGCGCACGACGAAGAGGAGGTGCTACGGAGGTGCTGTTCGCGCAGTAGCCGATCTACACAACAAACTCTGTCGGCACCACGACGGCGACTGGCGGAAGCAAATTTTGGCAGGTGCGGGTAAAAAGGTGGGAATGGGGAGGGAGCGAGGGGGAACTCTGTTATCCTCAGTCTCATGCTCTCTTCCACGAATAATCAAGTAGTCACTGTTAGTAGGTGACGTAGTTTCACGCTGGACACCACTCAAGTGAATTGCGACACGAGCATTGTTCGCCGAATATCCAATATAATGCACAGCACGGAGGTCGTGATGGCCTTTATGTATGAGACAGAGACGTTTCTTGACGTCACTTCTGGTCAGCTAGTGTATTCTAACAGACAGCGCTTTTTTCGTATTCACTTTTATGAACTGCGCAAAAAAATCCCTTGTGTCAAGTTTGCAAGCTTGTGCATATAAAAACTTGACATGAGGAATTTTACATACATACATACATACCTGTACGTGTGTATGCTTGTATGTATGTATGTTTGTTTGTATATATATGTATGTATGTATATATGTATGTATATATGTATTTATGTATGTATGTATGTATGTATGTATGTATGTATGTATGTATGTA